AAGTTTAAAGTGACTGTGGAAATTCTGTGTATTACAAAAAGTTGTATCAAGAAAGAATAAAATGATTTAATTAAGAAAGGACTTGTATCGCTGAAGTTCCTCGGAAAGAATTTATACCGGAAATTAACAAACAAGCAGATACGTAACAATATAAATACTAGTTATTTGTCACTTCTTATTTTAAAGACCAGCTGAATGTCCCTCATATGACAATAAATGATTTTATTCAGCAAATTACTTCTAAATTATTACCTTATTAACTTTATTTTTGAAAATGATTTAATTATAATAATAATTTATAAAGAAAATGTTTTCAAGTATATGACAAAAAACATTTTTTCTACATTTTGTCATCAGCTGTGTTCATGTGTATGTTTGTGATATTTCATACTTACATAATATTACACATAATTAAAATAACATTAATTTATCAAAAACAGAAACATTAGAAGGAATCCCTCTAAAATTTGAAATTGAAACAGCACATTGAAGAATTAAACTCAAATGCAAGTGAAACTTATTGAGATTTGTCATATTTGTTTATGTGTGTATTCTATTTATGTAAAAACTTACTGTCCATTTGAAAACTAAAAAAGAACACTATTTGGGTATATGCCTTTGCAAACTAATCTTTTCTCTTTCAATATTAAGAAAGAATAAATTAGATCTCTACATCACAGATTAAATTTTCAATTTTATTTTTGGTGAAACTAAAATAAAAATATGTAATATCATCATAAACTTTAAGACTTAGAAACACTATTAGCATGAATTTTAATTCAGTGCTGTAGAATGCTTAATTTGAAGAAACAATTAGGTTTTTAAACCTAGCAAAAGATATAGACTAAAAATGCCAAGGCCTAACTAATAACGTTGTATAGCTAAAAAAACCCGTGAACATGAAAAATAACAAAATTTGAAACCGTTTAATCACCTGTCAGGGTTAGTAAGCAAACATCATTTAGAATTGACCATGTGAAAAAAACTGGTTCTGTAAGAAATATTCCTACATGGTCAAATGTCTGGCCCTGTGATTTATTAATTGTGATGGCAAAGAATTAGAGGGTCAAGAGTCTTATGCATAAATGTATAAAATTTCATAAAAAAATGCTTATAAAATTTTTCAAAATTACAAAAACTTAGTGAAGGTGAATAATGCAAAGAACAACATATTGTGGCACACATACACTGGAGTTTATGTATATTGTTACAACAGCGGAAGTCACGCGACGCTGGGAGCATGCGAGCTGGAGTTTCTTGAAGGATCATGAATTATCGAGGAACCCCGCGAATGTCCAAGTGTTTGCTAGATGCCCTCTTTCTAGTATATAAGCCAGCGATAGATAGATATGGAGATAGATTGAAGACAGAGATAATTGAGTCAAGCAAACAGTAGGCACCGTAAGTAGAGTGTGTGAATCACTGTGATTTATAGTGCGTGTCATAAAGGTTGTTAAGTTTAAAATGACTGTGGAAATTCTGTGTATTACAAGGTTTGTATCGATAAAGAATAAACTAGTTTTAATCAAGAAAGGACTCGTATCGCTGAGGTTTCTTGGAAAGAATTTATACCGGAAATTAACAAACGAGCAGATACGTAACAATATGATAAACCTAATTACTTTAGTTATAAGATAAAATAGTAATAAAATACTGTAATATACCTAGCTCTAACGTTAGG